CTCCTTCTTCTTGTCTGATCAAAAGATATAATAACTCTACCTTCAGCAGTTACACGTTAAGGGTGGCAAAACAACAAAAAAGCAAGAGCCTAGACCAGTGGTCGGCAAACTCATTAGTCAACAGAGCCACATAGCAACAGTACAATGATTGAAATTTCTTTTGAGAGCCGAAAACCGACTTCTGCACATGGGCCACAAAGTTTCAATTGCACTGTATGTGCGCACCCGCACGTGGTATTTTGTGGAAGAGCCACACTCAATAGGCCAAAGAGCTGCATGTGGCTCGCAAGCCGCAGTTGGCTGATGACTGGCCTAGACTAATGATCACAGTTCTGGACTGCCTGTGTTTATATGAGAGAAACTTCAGAATCATTTAAGCCAATGTTATTTTGAGTTTTCTGTCACTCACAGCTGAACCTAATTTTGATTCAGGTATACAAAAGTCAAGCTGTTTCCAAATAAGAATCACATAAACTAAGTCCCATAGATGTTTCTTCTGTCAGTGTTGGTAGCACTGACAGAAGAAGCACTATAATCTGAACTAACAATTTTGATGCTCAGATTTAGCACTGCCATTTCAACTGTTGTCTATGACTACCTCTCCCTTCTATTATGGTAAAACTAGGAGCCTGGTGCACAAATTCATATATGGGTGGGGTCCAGTCAGCCTGCCTAATTGGGATCATCAGGCCTGGCTGCCCAGAGGGAGGAGATGCAGGAGATTGGCATATTAGCCTTTTATTATATAGGATAGGATGCTTCATTTTTCTCCTTTCACCAAGATTCCTCTGCGGTACTTCTATCCTTAAAACTTGCCAGCACTGGTTTGGCTCAGTGGATAGAGCATTGGCCTGCGGACTGAAAGGTCCCGAGTTTGATTCCGGTCAAGGGCATGTACCTTGGTTGCGGGCGCATCCCCAGTAGGGGGTGTGCAGTAGGCAGCTGGTCGATGATTCTCTCTCATCGACGTTTCTAACTCTGTATCCCTCTCTCTTCCTCTCTGTAAAAAATCAATAAAATATATTTAAAAAACTTAATACTCTCTTAAGTGGCAGTATACCTGGAGTTATGGAGGCCACAAGATAAATATCTTCCTGGAGCATTGACGACTTTGGAGGGAATCCTAATTTTTATATAAAAGTAATAGCATGGAAGGCAAAATTCACATGCATTTTAAAATATAAAATAAAATTCACATTTAAAAATAAAGTGGATGGAGTTGAACTGTATGAGCCATTTTCTTTAGATCTCACAGAGTAATGAGTTTACTCTTTTCTGCCTCTTAGAAGGAAACCTGAGAAGCACTGCTTACCTGCCTTGAACTGGGAGATTCCTGGCAGCAGAGTGACTAAAGCTCATGGCCCACCAACTAGAAAGGTAAGAGATTTTAAGCTTTTAATGCAAAAGTATCTTTTTATTTTGTGATTGTCTCTCAAATATTACTGAATTCAATAGATATCTCCAGATGGTAGTCTTCAGAATGCTGGTGTTCTACTATATTGATAAAAATATTCTAGTAATTAAATAGTAATTAAAAAATTCTGAAGTTCAGCAAATTTGAAAGTGTCCTTTTGGAGCTACTATGAATAGTAGTACACTGTATACTTACATTGAAGTGTTTAATTTTGTTTAATCCAGAGGTTCTTAAACCTTTCTGATTATGGAGTCTTCTATATAATACGGGGTCCTAATATGAAAGTTCCAGTTCTCCTAGGATTTCATAAGGATAGTAACAGGAGTTAATCCCTGACACATTTTCTACATTTCAAAAATATTTCACTCACTCTAAGGCAGTACCGCTAACTAAAATGTCAAAGGTATTTGCTTTTGGCTTGAGTTTAGTACCATGATTATTTCATGCTGATCAGAAACATTTAATAGGAAGTTATATATTCAAACATTTACCTTTATTAAATATCTCCGTCGCAGCTGCAGTGTGCTGATGTTAAAAGATACAAAGTACAATGAGTTCTGGTCTCAAGCCATTTATAATTTGGGGATGTAGCTTCTAAAAATGGAAAGAAAATACTGATTTAATAAATGTGGCCCAACAAATGTGGCCTGGTGATAGACTTTGTCAGATATATCAAGATACCCAAGAAAACTGACATATTTTGTTGTATTTGAATCTGAAGATTCAGATCAAAAGAAAAACTGTGTAAATGTACATTTGCTCTAATTTTGATTAAAAAAACTTAGAAAATAATTTAAATGTACATATGTATTTGAAAAAGTAAAATATTTTCAGCAGGTATAAGGAGAAAAGGATGGCAACACTTGGTAATTTTTTTCTTATACACTGATACCTACATTAAATAATTTTGAGCTACCTGTCCCACTTACATGTTGGTTAGCACTATTTCCATAAAATGTAAATTCCATGAGGACAGGTACTGTGTCTATATCATTGTACTCTGGAATCTAGCACACACTTCCTACCCTTCTGCACCTACTCAATAAATATTTAATCACTAAATGACTAAGTAAATTAGAGATCTGAATTTCAGGTTGGGGGTAGAGTGGATGGAAGAATATCAGAACCAATGTAAGGATATGAGGTTTTATCTTAAGAGCATTTTTTCATTAGCAGGTCCTTTTCTCTCACTTTGATTGGTGCTGCTTAATTTTAGACCATTACTCTCTTTGCTGAGGTTAGCAGTAGATTGTACTGGTTTTCTTTTGTATAGTATTGCCCTCTCTAATCAATCCTTTATACTTACATTAGTGATCTTACCAGTGTGCCCCTTTTATTATCTAATTCACCTGCTTTAAATCTTTTCACTTTTTTACAGCAGGGTTAAGCAAGCTTTATCTTTAGAGGGCCACATAGAAAACATGTAAGGCTTTATGGGAACCAAATATGGTCTCTGTAGTGTTGTGTTTTTGTTTTGTTTTTAATTTACTTATTAATATTTAGAGAGAGATGAAAGGGGTAGAGAGAAACATCAGTTTATTGTCCCACATTTTTATGCATTCATTTGGTTGCTTCTTGTGTATGTCCTGACCAGAGATCGAACCCACAGCCTTCGTGTATTAGGACGATGCTCTAACCAACTGAGCTCCCTGGTAAGGGCTCTGTTGCTTATTTTTCTTCCCTCTCCCTCTCCTACTCCCTCCCCGCCCCCCCCCCAACCAATTAAAAATGTGAAAAACTTTCTTAGCTGAACATTTTGGCACAGGGTCCTAGTTTATAACCTCACAGTGGAGGTGGGATGGGGAGATAAGTATAGATTTGAACTCCTTGCCAAGCATTAAAGGCCCTTCAAGTTGTGCTTCCCTCTCTCATTACCGCTCTTCTCTTCAACCTATGTTTCTATATTTCAGCCATCAGAAGTCCTTAGAGATCCTTCAGTGTATTCTGCTTTATTGTGCTTTCTACATGGTGTTTCCTCTGCCAAAGCATCATCTCTAACTGGCTGATGCCTCTTTCATTGAGAAGACTAAGTGCAGACATTGTTTCCTTCAGTAGTCTTCCCAAACTCTTTTTCTAGGTGTGGCCAGGTACTGACTTAGTTAGGGGATAGAAAATCAGATAAATTCAGGTTAAAAAAGTAAAAGGAGTTTCACACTCAGGATAGAGAAGACTCTCTCATGACCCAATCATAAGCATAGTTAGGCATAACAGAAACTACGTTCCTTCATACTGACTGAACTGTTTCTCATGTCATTTTCTACATCATTGTGGTCTATGATCAGTATGAACTTGACAGAAAATATCCACCAGTTCTGCGTATGATTTTGAATCTCTCGTGCCCACCTGTTTGGCTGATTATGTTTTTCTTTTATAAATTTCTTGAAGAGGTAATCTACTTGGCTTAACTTGGCCAGGTGTCTCCCCTGGTTCACCTGAGCCAGGTATGTTAGGGGCATGGATATATAGGATTGTCCTTTACTATGTAATTTCTAAGGGCACTGTGGGTGCTGAGGAAGATGACTGCTCCAGTATACCCCTTATTTTCCCATGTTCCCTTAGTGTTTGTCTATATATATAAAAGCCTAAGTGACAGGAATATTGAAATGCCAGAACGACTGGTTGCTATGATGTGCACTGACCACCAGAGGGCAGACAATCAACACTGGTGGTCAGTGTGCTCCCACAGCCAACCTCAAGGAGCCAAAGAACCACATGTGGCTTGCGAGCTGCAGTTTGCCAACCATGGTCCTAAACCACATCAATCTTGACTCCAGGCTCAGAACTGTGGCTACTTACAGATTTTCTTACAAGAATCACCCATTGTTTTTGAGCAAGACATTCTTCACAACAAAATTATAGAAGCAAAATTATGAAAAATGAAGTTTTTCTTTCTGTAACATTGGCTTATTTAAATAAGTGTATATAGTTATTTGCCTACTAGATGGAATTTCAGTGAATCCAAGATGAAATTGTATTAGAGTTTTAATGGACCACTGACCTGGATAGTTTCAGTAAGTTACTTGTCCTTAAGCTAATATCAAATAAGTAAGTTGTAAAATTATGGAAGTGAGAACTGCTTATATTGATCAAATACAATATGAGACAAATAGATTTTGATGAATTAGGCTGAGAACCTCACCACCATGAACTACGTTTAAAAAAAATAAAAGACTTTTGAAATACTAGCTCTCATCTTTCTCATCAGTCTTCAAAAGTCAGGTTTTTCACCCTTTTAAAGGCTACTCTTTAATCACAGCCATAAAGGTCAAATGAAATGTTTCTTTCTCTTTCACCCTCTTTGTGGTAGAGTTTGATATATTAATATATAACTTTATATATATATATATAAATGTTTAAGTCATTTACATGAGTGGTATTCATATTTAAGAAGTAGTAGTGTAGTATAAAGATTCTTAATACTGACTGGATTTTTAGATGACAGTAACAGTGTTATTTTTCTACAGTGTTTCAAGGACTTTTTAAGTACTATTAAGAGTGGGAAGCCACTTGGAGTTTTTTGTTTTATTTTGTTTTGTTTTTCAGTATCCTTGCAATGAAAAAAAGGACGTGATAAGTTGTTCGACTTATGAAATTCAAGTTACGTGTGAATTCTGCCAGGTATGTATGCAATATTTGATATTTTTAGCCATTTTAATATTTTAGAGTATAACGTGTTTCATAGGTTGTTTCTAGATAAATATTTTGGTGTTTTTCCATTAAACACTTGTGTGTTATTTAGTTGAATATACTATTTTTAAAATTTTTTCAAATATATTTTTATTGATTTCAAAGAGGAAGGAAGAGGGAGAGAGAGAGAGAGAGAAACATCAATGATGAGAATCATTGATTGGCTGCCTCCAGCACAACCCCACAACCCAGGCATGTGCCTTGACTAGAATTGAACTTGGGACCCTTCATTCCTCAGGCCGATGCTCTATTCACCTAGCCAAACCAGCTCGGGCTATTTTTAAATTATTAAATAGAGCATCTAAATTCATTTAACTATAGTAAACATAAACATATTTTAGGGTTTTGTTTTATTTTAAAATGATTACAAATAATAATGATCTCATGAGATAATCTGTAAAAAAGGGTTCAAATAGCCAATGGATGTGGGAAAAATATTCTAGGTGCTCCTTTATTCATTTCATTTCAATGTGGATGGCTCTGAGAAGTAGGGCCAAAAAAAGTACTTAAGCATTTTCCAAATTTGTTTGGCAAATTTGTTTACATTTTTCTATAATAGCTATTGTCAATCCTACTGGAAATGCTTTGGGAAACATTACTATGAAGAGATAACAAGCTCTTGTTATTGAAAAGGCCAGAATTTTTAGTTGCATTAAATACACTTGTTATATATAATTTCTAGAAAAAATGCAAAACAAAAGCCTATAAGTTGATAGAAGGAATAATTAGAAACTTTAGGTCTAAATCTAAAAGTAGGAAATAATCTTGACTTAAAAATGTCTTTTTGTAGTTGTTTTGTTCAAATCAGGATCAAAAAGGTCACCATATTGCATTTGGTTAGTATGTATATAAAACCTCTTTTAACCTAAAACATTTCCCTCTATTACATATTCTCTTTTGTTCCCTATGTTATTTACTTATCTATTGATGAGACCAGGTAGTTTGTCCTATAGAAGTAAGCTAATTACAATCTGGTAGTATTGATCAACACGTTTTTCTATCACTTATATTTCCTCTAGCTGTATCTACAGAGACTTAATTACATTAAGTTTGACTTCTTTACCCCCAAGTGTACTTCATGTGTTTTCTATTACATCATATCCGGAAACATGTAAATTTTTTGTCCTACTTTTAGTGATGTTAATTTAAGACTGATCAGCAAGTTTAGGTGCTATCAGCCCAATTCAACCATTGTAAAGTTCCCATCGCTTTTTTCAAAATGGCTTTATCAGACATTAATGATAGTTGCCTAGCTCCATTATTTTATTAGGGGTTAAAGTGGTGAATTTCTAGCTACAGTATTACATGCTTTCTGCACTTTACTATTTAATAGGAAATAATTTAGCCTGATAGATCAGGGTTCCTACCTCCTTTTTTTTTTTTTTTTTTTTTTTTTATCCTCATTCAAGGATGTGTTTATTGACTTTAGAGAGAGAGGGAGAAGAGAGAGATACATCCAGCTGTTGCCTCCCATACCCAACCCTGACCAGGGATCAAACCCACAATCTGTGCCCTTATGTGGAATCAGATCCCCATCCTTTTTGGTGTACAAATGGAGCCATCTTGGCAGGGGCCCTATCTTTTTCTTCTATAGTATAAAATCTACATTGTTTACATATATTTGTCTACTCAAGAAGTTAAAAGAGAGGAGAAACCAAGATGGTGGCATAGGTAAATACTTAAACTGCAGCCTCGCACAACAATTTCAAAAATACAACTAAAAGACAAAACGGATATCATCCAGAACCACAGGAAAGCTGACTGACTAGAAATTCTACAACTAGAAGGAAAGAGAAAACCTCAAGGAAAATCAGAGGAGCTGTAAAAGTCTGAGGTTCAGAGCCACAGGCACCTGAGAGGACAAGGCAGATGAATGCCTGGCTTGTGTTCTCTAGCGGGAAGGAGATAAAAGCTCCGGACTGTGCTGAACCCTAGTTCCTATTGCACTGAACCCCAGTTCCAGGCAAGACCCTGAGGACCCAGGCTCATACAGGCAGAATCTGGGCTGTACGGCGGAAACTTAGGAGCGTGGCTAATGGCAGAACTCCGGAGGCTTGCACATGAATGTGCACAGAGGACGGACTGTTGACTGTGCCGCTGGATTGCCCTAGTGAGAAGGAAACAAAAGCTCCAGACTGCACTGCACCCCAGTTTCGGGCGAGAATCTGGGAATCCAGATTCATTGGGAGAGAGATTATACTGACAGTGGGCAAAACTTGAGGGTGCCTTTCTTGCAGCGATAGGGCTGGGCTGACAGGAAAGCCAAGGCTGTAGGCTCCACCCTGAAACTCCGCCCTATCCCAGCTGAGCACAGAGGCTTTTGCAATTTTGCTATCTTTTCGAATAAGCCTGTCTCCCAGCATAGACACAGCTGATCCTCACAGCCAATTGGCCTGGAGATCAACTCCTCCCACTGATACCAACAATAATCAAGACTTAACTACAGCAAGGCTGTACACACAGTCCACAAAGAGTGCACCAAGAGTGTCCACCTCAGGTAACTGGGGAGGCCGATCCACTGGACCATATAGGAAACCTAGTACACAAAGCTACCCTACCAACTCGGAGGCAGTGAAAATGCAGGGACAAAAAAAAAACACAAAACAACAGATCACAAACGAAAGAAATGGAGGAAAACAAATAACTCTTTAACCTACTGCAATTACATTGTTGTCACTGCCACTTCAATGAAACTACTCACCTAATAATCTTTTTCTTAATCCAATAGTAAATTCTGAATTCTCACCTTTTCCTGTCAACTATCTGAACTACGTTGTTTCTCCATTTTGAAACACTTCCTTCTACCTGACTTTCAGGACACAATTTTCTTGTTTGCTGCTTCTCAGCCTTCTATTCTACATCCTCCCTCTCCTCCTTTTTCTGGCTTCTAAATACACAGTGGATCGGCCTCCCCAGTTACCTGAGGTGGACACTCTTGGTGCACTCTTTGTGGACTGTGTGTACAGCCTTGTTGTAGTTAAGTCTTGATTATTGTTGGTATCAGTGGGAGGAGTTGATCTCCAGGCCAATTGGCTGTGAGGATCAGCTGTGTCTATGCTGGGAGACAGGCTTATTCGAAAAGATAGCAAAATTGCAAAAGCCTCTGTGCTCAGCTGGGATAGGGCGGAGTTTCAGGGTGGAGTCTAAAACCATGGTTATAAGGTTTTTCAAGAATTTCTTAGAAAGGCCTATAAATTGAGTGAGACCCTCAAGGATATGGAAAAGGACCAACTAAAAATTATACATACACTGACTGAAATAAACAATACTATACAGACACCCAACAGCAAACTAGAGGAACGCAAGAATCAAGTCAAAGATTTGAAATACAGGGAAGCAAAAATCACTCAACTGGAAAAGCTAAAAGAAAAAAGAATCTAAAAATTTGAAGATAGTGTAAGAAGCCTCTGGCATATCAACATCAGAATTATAGGGGTGCCAGAAGAAGAGAGAGAGCAAGATACAGAAAACCTATTTGAAGAAATAATGACTGAAAACTTTCCCCACCTGGTGAAATAGACTTACAAGTCCAGGATGTGCACAGAACCCCAAACAAAAGGAATCCAAAGAGGACCACACCAAGACACATCATAATTAAAATTCCAAGAGCAAAAGACAAAGAATATTAAAAGCAGCTAGAGGAAAAACAGTTAATTACCTACAAGGGAGCACCCTCTAATTGTCAGCTGATTTTTCAACAGAAACTATGCAGGCCAAAAACTATGCAGGAGTGGAAAGAAATAGTCAAAGTGATGATTAGCAAGAACCTACAACCAAGAGTACTCTTCCTGGTCAAGCTGACATTCAGAATTGAAGGGCAGACAAAGAGCTTCACAGATAAGAAAAAGCTAAAGGAGTTCATCAACACCAAACCAGTATTATATGAAATGCTAAAAGGTATTTTTTAAGAAGAGGAAGAAGAAGAAAAAGGTAAAGATAAAAATTATGAACAACAAATACATATCAACAAGTGAATCTAAAAATCAATTGAATAAAAAATCTGATGAACAGAATAAACTGGTGAATATAATAGAATCAGGGGCATAGAAAGAGAGTGACTGACAAATTTCGGGGAAAGGGGAGTGGGGGTGTGGGAAGAGACGACAAAAATTGTACATCTATGGATGAGGACAGTAGTGGGGGGGATAAGGGAAGAGGGTGGGATGGGAACCAGGTGGAGGGGAGCTATGGGGGGAAAAAGAGGAACAACTGTAATAATCAGAACAATAAAGATTTATTTAAAATAAATAAATAATAAAGGTGGAAAACCTGAAGCTCTGAACAACTCAGCCTGTCTACTTACAGACCACAGCTCTTGAAATTTTTCATTTCCATGTGTTCATCTTTAAAGAACATGTGCTTAATCAAAATTTTAGAAATTGGGTAGAAAGGTCAGTTACAGAGCTATTCTATTGATTTCCTTGTTGTTAAGCAATAATTCTGTGTCATCCCTAACTGGTTTGGCCTGTGGACTGAGAAGTCCCAGGTTTGATTTCATTCAAGGGCATATGCCTCCGGTTGTAGGCTCAATCTCCAGTAGGGGTCATGTAGGAGGCAGCTGATCAATGATTCTCTCTCATCATTGAAGTTTCTATCTCTCCCTCTCTCCCTTCCAATCTGAAATCAATAAAAATATTTTTTAAAATAATAAGTTAGAAGATAGGATTAGAATGTCACTAAAAGTGTATCATTTCACATTTAAATAGAAAAGGTAACAAACTTAGTGAAAATAAAAATTATTATTTTTTAAATTATTCTTGAATTAAAAATCTATACTGTAAAAGATTTAGCCATCTCTTAATGTTTTACTATAGGCAATACAAGGACCTGTGGAATATGAGTGATGACAAACCCTTTCTATGCACTGCCCCTGGATGTGGCCAGGTAATACATAAATTACTTTAAATCATTTTGTATATTTATATTTGTTAAAACACTGATGACAGTATATGTTATTGTTAAAAGGATTCCCTTATAATATTTTGTACAGTTTTGGAGTTAAAGAAAATAACCCAGAATAATTTGGGGAAGGAATTCTTTTTCCTCGGTAGCATTATGTGAGTTTTAAAAAGTTCAACCTAATATTGAAAAAAGTTATATCTTATAATGGAAAGATGAAAACCTGGACAAAATCTAGGGTTTAAAAGTATTTTCATTTGACCATTATTGGTTGAAAATCACTGTAAACTGCCTAATTGGAAATTAGATGTACTTTATCATATATGAAAATTATTTTATTTGCTCAACTTTTATGAATTTAACTAATATTTACCTGAGAGTATTATTAATGTATTAATGTTCTTAAAGCTAACATCTTTAATACAGAGCATGTGTGGAAGCATTTTCAGAAAATACTTCAGTGTTGTTTCAGAAATAATATTTCAGTGTTTTGTAACAGGCTATTAAATTATTAACTTATGCTATTATAATTATTCTAATCTTAAAATAACTACAGGCACTAAAGAATTAAAGAATAAATTTAATGTGTAGTGAAATTACGGACTACTTAAATAGATAAATTATAAATAAAAAATAAGTATGAAAGTGTTTTATTCTGGCATATCACATTTACTCCTTGGACTCAGTACTGAGTTAAATGGACAAAGAAGTGGTATTACTCAAGTCATCCATTTTGCTAAAGTGGTTTGAACAGACATGATTCTATAATACCCTGGATTATAGTAAACTCAGTATGTTTGTTGCTAAAGCCAGATTTGCTCTGTTCTAGGAATTATCCTTAGAAACTCAGTCTCAAACAAACCCCTTATTCCTTCTCTTATTCTTTTCTTAAAATAGTAAGAATTGTTTGTTATCTTATGATTTTACTAATACTTTTTAAAATAAAAAGTATTACATTTAAATTTGCTTAAATTCAGCAGAACAAAAGGAAACCTATTGCTCATATAAGAATGTATGAGTATGTATATCATAAGAGATTGTTTCTTAAGAGACCTTTCTAATATTATAAAAAGGAAAATATTAAGAAGTTAGAATTGTTTTTAGACTCTATTGTGAAAGGAGTTAACATTCATATTTCCTTCTACCCTTCTTCCCATTTCTTGATGTTTGATAATTGTTTTTTTTACATTGTCAAGGTTTATAATACATTTTGTCTAATAACCTGTAATTCCCATATTTGCTTATCTTACTTCCATTTAAATAATATAGATAGAGAAAAAGGGAAGAACTAAGTTTTAAGGCACTGTGTAGTTAGAAGCCAGAAAAAGGAGGAGAGGGAGGAGGTAGAATAGAAGGCTGAGAAGCAGCAAACAAGAAAATTGTGTCCTGAAAGTCAGGTAGAAGGAAGTGTTTCAAAATGGAGAAACAAAGTATTAATAGTTCAGATAGTTGACAGGAAAAGGTGAGAATTCAGAATTTACTATTGTATTAAGAAATATGAAGATTATTAGGTGAGTAGTTTCATTGAAGTGGCAGTGACAACAATGTAATTGCAGTAGGTTAAAGAGAAAATGGGGAGAACCAGAAGTGGAAAACATTGTAAGACAGCTCTTTCTTGGAGTTTAGCTTAAAGGGAACAGAAAAATATAGCTGGAGGAGAATTGAAGATGGAGCTTATTTGTTTTGCATTGTATAGCGGGAATATCACAGCATATTTGACCCTGCAGAGAGAGAGATTGTTAAAAGATTAGAGTCCTTAAATAGGTAAAAGAAAGGATGGGCTCTGCTGCTCAAGTAAAGGGATTGGCCTTAATTAGACCATGGGCAATTATTCCATAGTAAAAGAGAGTAAAAAGGGAGGGGTAGAGGTTAGGAAGGTTTAAATAGAGAAAAGAAAGCATACAGACATATTTCCTTCAATATAGTCACCATAAAAAACAAAATTACATTTCTGTTTATTCCATTGCACACAAAAAATTACCTTTAGAAGCTATGGCATGCTGTTTTAAATAGTATAGATAGGGGTGGCAAATTTTTAGCCATTTGTTTTACTTAGCATGCTGGTTAGGTCAAAAAGTCAATCTAACAATAGCTTGAACAGTTTGTTTTTCATGTAACAGCCCAGAATTAGGAGTTCCAGGGCAGGCTGTCTGCTATCCTCAACATTTGAATTCCATTTTTAGATCCAGGATGGCTGGCCCAGCTCCTGCCATCAGTTCGCATGCCAGCAATAAGGAGAGAGAATTAGAAACAGAGCACACACGCTCACACACATATACACTCACCATTTTATTAACATTAACTAGAAATAATGCGTATAATTTTCATTTATTTCTTTTGGTAAGAACTCAATCACATGGCCACTTTATTGCAGAGGAAGCTAGAAAAATGTAGTCTTTGTTCTGGGCAGCCAGGTATTCAACTAAAATTGGGAAATTCCTTTGGGAAAATTTTGAGTAATGGAGATTAAGTTAGCAGTCCTTTTCATAGTTTTCAAAGATGATTTTCACTTGGGGACATAGCAATAAGTCATTTGGAGCCTGAATCTGGTTTACTTGGGCACAATAAGTCCTCACTTAATGTTATTAGTAGGTTCTGGAACTTTAAGTGAAACGACATATAGCAATCATAAGCAAAAATGAGTGAAAGACCTTCCAAGGACTTGCTATATTGTTTTTAAAGTTGAAAATAAAGTTTTCAACGTCTGGAATTTAGTTGTCAGTAATGTATCAGTGGTGGTTTCTTAGTTAGGGGTATACCATACCTATTTTATCTGTGCGCAACTTATTTCAAATAGTATTTGAGAAATTAAAGGTTCATATAATAATTGTCATAATAATAAAAACAATATTTTTAACTTAACTAGCCACTGTACTAAGGTTATGTGGATTATCATTTAATGTTTCCAACAACTATAAAATCGGTGGTTATAGCTCATTTCTCATGAGTCACAAAACCAGGAAGTATTGGAAATAAGTTTGTACCTAAAAGCCTGTCTTTGTGTTCTGTCCGTAAATAGAATGTTCAGGTTTCAAGGTATATTTGAATACAGGTCTTGGTATTTGTTATCTTTCAATTAACATGGTTTTTATTTCCTCTTAATAACAAAAGTTTCCCCGAAAATGTTGACAAGCTTAACATGGCAAAATAAAATCTAGAGAGGACTTGTTAACATTAGGAGCATTTCATAAAGTCCTTCTCCTGTCTTATTTTTTTTTAAAACAAAATTGGGACCTTACTCCATTTACATAGTTTTATATTCCATCAGTATAGAGATTACATTGCATGTTTTATAAGCATTTTGTGTGGTAATTGAAAACATGGGTTTATGTTGCTGTGTCCTATTCTATTGCCAGAACATGTCCCATAATTTATTTACTCATTCCTCTATTATGGACTTTTATAATTTTATAACTTATTAAATTTGTATGATTTTTATATAATTATAAAATATACAATTTATGAGTATATATAATATAATTCTATATAATGTTATAATTCCAGTATTATAAGCAATAGTGTGATGAAATCCTTTATATGCATCTCTAATTAATTTCTCAAAATACATTCTTAAAAATAGATTACTTGGTCAAAATGTATACACAGTTTTGAGGTTCTTCAGGCATTTTGCCATATTGTTTTTAAAAGCTAAGCCAATTTTTATTCTAATAATTTATTTAAGCACTGGCTTCATCATAAACACTCCAGTTTGGGGCATTATTACTTCTGTTTTGTGTCTGTGCCTGTATTTATTCCCTAAAGGATATAAAATAATCTCGATGTTATATTAATATAACTGCTACTGATCAAAATAGTAACCTTGCTGCCATGGTCAGGTCGCTCAGTTGGTTGGGAGTGTTATCCCATACACCAAAAGGTTACAGGTTTGATTTCTGGTCAAGGCACATACCTAGGTTGCAGATTCAATTCCCAGTCCAGGAGCTTGGAGGAGGCAACTGATGGATATTTCTTTTTCTCCATTCCTCTCTAAAATCAGTTAAAAAAAAAACATCCTTGGGTGAGAATTTAAAAAAAAAAAATATAACCTGGCTAATGCCAGCATCATCCATTTGTTAAGTCTCTCTAAGAACAGAAATGGAATGTCTCTTTAAATTTAAGTAATATTTTCTAGGAAATCAAAACTTCAACTGGTATTATCCTGATGACCTCATAACTTACTTGTACCTATTTATCTATTAAATAGGAATAATAATCTATATCATGTGTGTGAATTAAATGCAGAATGACTGATTTTTAAGGAAGTTAATTCTAGTTTGTGTTCAAATGTTCATGCCTTGGAATTACAGATTTATCTATACTATATATCAGAACTTATATTGCTTTTATTATAAAAGCATCAGATTCCCATCCCTTCAATCTGTCAGTTGCCCTTCCTTTTTTAACCTTTTAAGATTATTATCCTGTCCTATCTTTCTTGACTGCTTTTCTCATTGCTTATTCAGCTATATGCTACAAAGTCTTGTTTAACACAATACTGTGCACATTTTGCATTGGATTTGTGCTCTTGTATTCTTAATATGTTGTTATTGATAGCAGTATCATTACAATTTTATTCAATATACATTTTTAGAATAAATTGTTTAAATTTGGCTGGGAAAACAGATTTTGCAAAAATTTTATTTTACCATATAGTACCTAAGTATTTATTGAAAAGACGCACTTTATTCATACACACACACACACACACACACACACACACACACATATATACATATATATATATATATATATAGAGAGAGAGAGAGAGAGAGGCATTGGCAAAAGTAGGCTTACAGTTGTGATGCAAATAATATAATTAATAAGTAAATAATTTATACAAGAATAAAACCTGTGTTTTGTGTACTCTCAACTACAAACCTACTTTTGCCCAACCCTGTAAAATATTACATATGTCCCTTTTTCCCCCCATTGCCCTCTCCTGTTCCTCCCCCCCCCCCCAGCCTATTGGTGACCACCTTTTGACAAGATTGCCTTTTGCCACTGTCTTAAAATTTCTTGTTAGAGGTAAATAAATTTTCTTATGACAATCCAAGTTTAGAGTTAAACTTGGATTGTCATAAGAAAATTTATCAACTACTTATTTTAGTATATTTTATCCTTGTACATAATTGATACCATTATATGATCAACAATTCATTTATAAATAGCATTTAGGTAAATTTGATCTGGAGATCGAACATTCATATTTCTTTAATTTATCCTTTTAATATTAATTAATATGACCCAAAATGTTTTTAGGGTCTTTTTAGCAGCTACTTTTCACTTAGGATCCATCTTGGTGCCATTTTCACATGTTTTATACAAAACAATTTTACTTATTCTATATGTAATTGCTCTTTGATTTGAATATTTGTGTTCAAGCTATCTAAGCAAAAGATATTGGTAGAATAAAATTCCTGGGAGGTAATTTTCTAAGTTCGTATGCATTAATTATGTTGACTTTGCTGTTTTGAAATCTATGATCTCTAGCTACCAAAATACATTCACTCACAAATGTTTACTGATTCTCTTCCATGCAAAAGTCACATTGTTAGGTTATTTGTAACATTAAAGCGAATTTTGCTTTAAGATACATGTACTTTTAAACATGTAATGCAAAGTTAAAAGCAATGAAATAATGCCAGTAAACTGCAGATATGTTCATTCTCTAAGAGTTTTGTTATTCAACAGTCTGTCAATTCTCCAAATTTGCAAGGGATTCTTAAAATGATAAAGCATATGAAAATAGCACTTGAGTGGAGAAAACTGGGTTATGGTTCCAGTTGCTGCTTAGTAAATGTTTGAAGAGTGAACAAATGAATAAATTAAGACATCGGGGGGAGGGGAGGGTACTGTTGCATCTGAACACGCACCTTCAATGGGACCATAAACAGGTTTTGAAAGGGGGTCATATAATAATAGATATTTTTCTATTGGTGTATACAGTAACCTAAAGACTTGAGTGGTAAGCCATCCTATCTAATAAAGAGGGAATATGCTAATTGGCCATCATCCCTCACAAAGATGGTAGCATCCACAGCCAATAAAAGGATATACTAATTGACTGCCATGCCCTCAAAGATAGCAGCACCCACAGCCCAGTCCTCTCAGCCCCGCTGGGGTGGCAGGTGCGTGGCACGGCCGGACCCGGCTCCATGCACCTGCCTCAGGAGTCCCCCGGTCCTTTCAACCCCCAGCCACCCAGGGATGTTGGCTGCCCAGCCACTCAGGGCCAGCTTGAGGGGCAGGCAAGCCTCTCATAGGCTTGCCTGCCCCTCAAGGCTTGTGCCCTGGCAGTGGCAGCAGCAGAGTTGTGCTGAGGGCATCACCTTCCCCTGATTGCTGGGTCACCTCCCACCCCTGAGGGCTCCCGGACTATGAGAGGGGGCAGGCCAGGTTGAGGGATCCCCTCCTCCAGTGCATAAGTTTTCATGACCGGGCCTCTAGTACTTAATAATATAGCAAAATATGGCCAAATTAAATAAAAGCTTACTTTACTGAATACCTATGGTTTTGGTGGTTTATTTTTGTTTCTTCTTTAGACTGGGCTTGAAGATTCAACTGTTTAATTGTAAGGAGCTCATTCTTTGGAACATTTATTAAATACCATATGTTAACTTTGGGGGAGCACAAACAAATAGGAACTCAGACTACTTTAAAGAATAGACATACAAAATTATCAATATAATATTGATAGGTACTATAACCAAGGCATGTGTAGAGCATAATGGGCATTCATGAAAGAGATTATCATTTACAGAGTGAGGATCTGGTTGGCTTGTAAGGATGATATAGGTAGATATTCAGTGTCATACTTTTACAATAATTGGAAAACTTTAGAATAAAGAGCATAATGGTAAGAAATGTTTCATTCTTTTACATTGTTTACATTTTATATGATCCCTTTTCAGAACCTGCTTATGGTCCCATTGAAGATGAGTGTTCAGGTGGCAATAGATTCCACAAGAGAAGGAATCCATTTTGATGGTTTAGAGGAACTAAGTTAAAATATCATAAACTTAACAGCCCTTTTTGTAGGTAGATAGTCTAGGACTGTGGTCAACAAACTGCGGCTCATGAGCCACATGGGGCTTTTTGGCCCCTTGAGTATGGCTCTTCCACAAAATACCATGGCCTGGGCAGTCTATTTTGAAGAAGTGGCATTAGAAGAAGTTTAAGTTTTAAAAATTTGGCTGTCAAAAGAAATTTCAATCATTGTATTGTTGATATTTGGCTCTGTTAACTAATGAATTAGCTAACCACTGGTGTGGGGAGTGAGTTTAGATCTCTTAACTTGGCATTTTATAGTTATTGCTCTGAAATAAAGTGCTTCAAATTTTCAGTTATAAGAATTACTTAGTAGCCAAAACTAGTTTGGCTCAGTGGATAGAGCTTTGGTCTGCGGACTGAAAGGTCCCAGGTTCGATTCCGGTCAAGGGGCATGTACCTTGGTTGCGGGCACATCCCGCAGCTGATCAATGATTTGCACTCATCGATGTTTCTAACTCTCTATCCCTCTCTTTCTCTCTGTAAAAAATCAATAAACTATATTAAAAAAAAAAAGAATTACTTAGTAAAGGGTATCTTCATTAAGGTTGATGTCCAGACATTCAGGAGATATTTAAATTATGCATTTATTATATTGGCATGCAGGACCTATCCAAATTAAATGTAGCTTTAAAAATAATCTTGCTTCATTTTTAAGAATTGTGGTGAAAACATCAATATTTTAAGTAAAATTTTTTTATTTTAAAATTAACTATTATTACATTGATTGTTATTTCTTCACTGAATTGTGACAGAGGCATTCTTTTTATATGTGGTAACATAAAGAACCCAATTTACTTCTTAATTCATCCAGAAGTAATATTTTTATAAGAAAAGTCTCATTTTAAAAGTGGTAAGTAACTTGAAGTCTAAATACAGTCCTTTTTTCAAAAGTCATTATACCACAGAGCATATATTTTTATTGTGATATGGCAGAAATTAATAATGGTCTATTTTTAATGTCCAGTGAAATTTATATAAAGTTTGTTTGCCTCAAGTTTTGTTTTTATGTGCTCTTAAGTGAGCTATGAGACCTAGTAATATATCAGCATTGCTTATTCTTGGGTAATGGGTTTCTCTATGATTACTTGAAATCTAGTATGTTTATACTAACAATAGATCCTTTTATAGTTAACAGACTGCTATTTCATTGTTAATGGTGGTTTTACATGTTGTGGAAATGAATTTCCTTATTTTACTTATTTGATCAAATTGAAATTCTTAACTATATTTTAAAACTTTTTGCCACAGCGTTTTACCAACGAGGATCATTTGGCTGTCCATAAACATAAACATGAGATGACACTGAAATTTGGTCCAGCACGTAATGACAGTGTCATTGTGGCTGGTTAGTATATGCTTTTATTAATAGCTTATATACATATTTCACCTGGAATGTGCACAATTTTTGTGTATTCTCTGTAAATAATATAGTCTGGTGATATTCCAATGACTTCATTTGCAATAAATGTTGGCAACATGTATTTTACCCATTACATATCCATGTTTCCTTCTGACCATTCATTTCACTTTTTGTATGGATTTCAAATGTAGATTTCAATGTCAGTTTTGTGGACGTTAATTAGAAACCTGGGAGCATTCATACCATCTCCAAAGTTTAGATTTAATAGACAATTGAACTAATGTGATATTTAGTTATTGTTTCTTTTAGCTGTTCACACCTGGTCTACAGTGCTGTGCGAAGACAGAAAACTCCTCCTGTAGGAGAAAGAGCACTTAGCCGACTTGTTTATTAGGATTTTTGTTTCTATTTCTTTGTACTAAACATCCATGTTAGTAAAATAATTCTGAGTACTCTCCTAAATTCAGTAATTTTTGTATGTTGATCCAGTATCACCTAAGCAGATGATTATCTTTCACAATATGTGAAAAGAGAATATACATTGTTTTATTGTCTTTCATCCTGTGTTAGTTGCTCCTTTTTAGGCATTTATATATAAGCACACATCTGTGTATGTGTATACACACATAATATGTGTAATTTTACCATATTTCATATATTTTCTAATTATTGTGATAAAATGTTTATATGAAATCTAACATATTTATGTAATTTCAGACTTAGTATCATAACCACAGATTCACATATCATAAATAATCAGAATAACACTAAATTATTTTCTTCTATATAGCTTAGGTTATACTCTTCGTAAGTGTGTATTTATATCTGAATACTGAATATTATTAATATTTTAAAATTATCACCCGAATCTAGAGATCAATTTTACATATGCAATCTTTGGAGCAATATGAGGCAAATATTAGGTGGTTCTTCTAGTACTTTCAGCATCAAAGTTTTTGTAATGAAAAAATTAGAGGTAACAAAAAGTTGGTAATTTATCAAAATTATTTATTTATGAAAAACGTAGGGAAATGTTCAACCTGTCTTCAACTCCACAAGTAAAAGGAAGCTAAAAAGAGTGAGGTGTGCATTTCTTTAGAGGGTCATGTCTCAGATATTATAAGCTGGAACCAGCAAACAGTCAAATAAGCAGTATAACAACAACTGGAAGGTTCGCGCTCCTAGGTATGAAAGTCTTTGTTTCTCTAAAACTGTCTTAGAGCAATATTTCTCTTTGTAACTTTAACTCAAAAGTGTTTGAGATTACTTTCTAAAAACTACTTTTCCATCTGCATTTAGTACAATAAAAAAAATAGAACACATTCAGACACAGTACTTGACCATTTTTTTACTTATGTCAAGGTGAGTAATTTAGCATTACTATATAAATAGAATGCATGATATATGTACTATATATTTGATGATCAACAGTCATAAGCCATCTGCATGTTAAAACAATTGTGTCTGTGTTGACTTTCTCAAGCTTGATCATTCCAGTAATCACTGATAAATGTGACTTACACATGCATTTTATTTTTAAGACTTTTCTCTCTCAAATACAAATTAGGAGCCTTCCATTGAGCTTAGATAGATAAACCCTTTAAGTGTGAACAGAAGACTCAAATTTATATACAGTTTATAAATTCAGTAATGCATGTATGTTGGGTCCTTATATAATACGATTTTAGAAATATTTTGGGGGGTGAGGGTATGTAAGTTGCAGACAGACTAATAGGTAAAGGATGACACAATAGACTTCTTCAGTAATTCTAATAATACTAATAGTATCTAAAATAGACCTACATTATGTGTAATATGACAAGTAGGTCTTTTAGAGCTAACTATATATATATATATATATATATATGGTAAGCATTAGTACTCTAATGTCATGCTAGTATATGTGTGAGGGCAATAATAAAACAATAAGTAATGCCCATTTTGGAGACACAGTAATTAACAAATGTATGAAAACTAATTTCACGTAAAATTTAATATTTTAGCTTAAACTATGAGTCATCTTATACTTTTATTCTGTTTAGGCTAGATTGGTGATACAAGCTATAAAATTGATACCCTAAAAGATTTAAAATGTGACTAGAATTTCAATGTACTACCAACTCTGATCTATATGAATAGTCTTGAGAATAATAAGATTTAAGAGGCAAAATTCATAAATTTACTATTTTTTATTACACATGGACCTTGGTCACAGAAGGTCACATAGTCATTTGTTCTGTGACCAACATGTACATATATACTAATGTAGTACCTGAGTTAATGCACATAGTATGAGTAACGTTCAAATATAGTGAAAATATTTCAAGTTTTTAAAATGTAAAGTTGAAGTCCTCTGCTGTCCTAGAAATTGTGCTAGAGCATTCCATAGATATGGAACTCTTTCATAACTAGCTCCTCATACAAGCTTGAAAAATGCATTAAAATAGAAAATTGGTTTCAATAGGTAGAAATGAGGATTTTGTTTTAGTTTGTTTTTGTTATAGGGCTCTTATTTTAACCTTTTTTTCCCTTGTAATATTTTGAGTTACCTGCTAAAGATTGTTCTGTCTTAAGCATGCTTTCATAATAGATTATGAGCACTAGTGGAAGGCCAAGTTGAGTGTATATACATGCTCTTGTCTAGTTTTCCCCAAACTGCATGTATTATAAACATAATTTTTAATGTAAAATTTTAAAAAATCTATGTTGACTGATGATAATAGTTGATCTCTGAGCAGAGCATGTGAATGTCAGTCTATTCAGAAGGTATGGACTAAGAAACAAGAAGGACTTCTTTCATGGTTCATAAACTTTGAGGAAATATCTTGAACTGCAACAAAAACTTAACCAAATTATGTTTGCTTCAAAGGAAAAGGACTTTCCAAAGAGAAAATTAACAACTGACTGAAGCAGTCCTGCTAATTTGTTAATTTATTAGGTATATTTTAGGGTTCTTTATGATATTTAAATCTATATGATTACTTCTTGACATTTATTTCAGATCAGACCCCAACACCAACAAGATTCTTGAAAAACTGTGAAGAAGTGGGTTTGTTTAATGAGTTGGCAAGTCCATTTGAGAATGAATTCAAGAAAGCCTCAGAAGATGACATTAAAAAAGTATGATGTTCACTATGATATTAAAGAGTACTTCTCACAGAACAACAATTATAGTTTATATTTCTTTTTATTTTAGATTTACCAATTGGCTTTTTTTAAAAAAAACTCCTAACATTTTCTTTAATGTGTATCTTAGATGCCTCTAGATTTATCCCCTCTTGCAACACCCATCATAAGAAGCAAAATTGAAGAACCATCTGTTGTAGAAACAACTCACCAAGATAGTCCTTTACCTCACCCAGAGTCTACCACCAGTGATGAAAAGGTTAGAAATCTGTACTTATGTAGAAATACATACTAAGTGTAAAATTAGCTTCCTAATAAGGATTAATATTTGATCTACATAGCTAATAAATTGTACATCATTCAGTGTCAGATTATATGTGAAAGCCTATGAATAGTCAGAAATTCCAGGGAAAAAAGATTCTAGATTCATAGATAATTAGCTTTTTATTACACCCAGAAAATTTATAAGGGAGAACAGCAGTCACTTTAGGTAAAACTTACTTTTTAAAGGATTTATAAACTTAACTTAAAATTTCTGGGTTTTGCCAAAACTGGCTCAGTGGTAGAGCATTGATCTGTGGACTGAAAGGTCCCAGGTTCGATTCCAGTCAACATTGGTTGCGGGCACATCCCTGGTCGGGGGTGTGCAAGAAGCAACTGGTCGATGTTTCTAGCTCTCTATCTCTCTCCCTTCCTCCTCTCTGTAAAATCTCAATAAAATATATTTTTTTTAAAAATTTCTGGGTTTTGCTATTTTATTTTTAACTACTTATAAAAGGTGACAGCTTAATTAAGAATCTTTATAATGAATATTGAACAAAGGTTATTTCAGCTTTTGTACATTGGTTGCTGGCACATCCCTGGTGGGGGGTGTGCAGGAGGCAGCTGGTCGATGTTTCTCTCTCATCGATGTTTCTAGCTTTCATCCCTCTCCCTTCCTCTCTGTAAAAAAATCAATAAAATATATTTTAAAAAATATTTCTAATATTGGATATGTATAAGCTATAAGTCTCCCTAGACCTCTTTACTTCTTTTTTAAAAATTGGTTTTAGAGAGTTATGCCTTTATGTTGCCATATCAAAAATCTTATTAAGAATGAGTTACTAGTCCCATAACCCTTTAAATATATTTTATTGATTTTTTTTTATGGAGAGGGATAAAGAGATAGAAATATCAATGAGAGAGAACCATCGATCAGCTGCCTCTTGCATACCCACTTAAAGGGTTATGGGACTAGTAACTCATTCTTAATAAGATTTTTGATGTGGCAACATAAAGACCAATTAAAAGTACACAGTTGACCCAGTTTTTATACTAACTAACTAGTTAAGGAGTTCTGGATAAAGCCCGTAATCTCTTTGTTTCCTAATCTGTAAAACTGGGGAAAAGACTACCTATAAGGTCCTGGCTAACTCAAGATAATTATGTAATTATATATTTTATAATCAAGGTATCAATATTACATGGCCATTTGATACTGAGAAATCATTGATAATGGATAAACATTTGTGTTGCTTTAAATTTTAAAAAATATTTCTATTATAAGCCAAAACTGGTTTGGCTCAGTGGATAGAGCATTGTCCTGCGGACTGAAAGGTCCCAGGTTTGATTCCAGTTCAGGGCATGTACATTGGTTGCTGGCACATTCCCGGTGGGGGGTGTGCACGAGGCAGCTGGTCAATGTTTCTCTCTCATCAATGTTTCTAGCTTTCATCCCTCTCCCTTCCTCTCTGTAAAAAATTTTTTAAAATATTTCTATTACTGGATATGTATAAGTTATAACAATCTCCCTAGACCTCTTTACTTTAAAAAAAAAAAAAATTGGTTTTAGAAGAAGAGAGAGTAAGAGAAACATTGATGTGAGAGAGAAGCATCAATCGATTGCCTTCTGTATGTGCTCTGACTGGGGATTAAACCTGCAACCCAGATATGTGCCCTGACCCCCACAATCTTTTGGTGTGTAGGATGTCACTCTAACCTACTGAGCCACAATGACCAGGCCTCTTTCCTCTTTTTATAATATAGTGATAGAGTAGAACTAGGCAATCCCTCCTGGATTTTAAGTCTATGACTCCTGAGAATGGTTTGTATTTTTTTATAAACATATTTTTATTGATTTCAGAGTGGAAGGGAGAGAGAGAGAGAAACATCAATGATGACAAAGAATCATTGATTGAATACCTCTTGTACACCCCACTGAGGATTGAGCCTGCAACCTGAGCATGTGCCTGGACTGAGAATCGAACTGTGACTTCCTGGTTCGTTGATGGATGTTCACCCATTAAGCCATAGCATCTGGACTGTATTTTTATCTTTTACTAAAATTCTCATGGAATCATAGGCTGACTTGTTTCTGGATTGATAGGAAAACAAGTTGTACTGATAAATATGAACATTGCATTTGAAACATTATAGCTGCTTCTAAAATTTTCTTGTAATTAACTTTAGATGTTTATTTTTGAAGGGGTATAAGTATCATCCTGTGGACACTTTTCCAAATGTATTATTTTCTGTATATTAAGGAATGTAAATTTACTTGCATTTTTAAATTCTACTCTTTCTCTATCTCATTATTAAATAGGAAGTACCACTGGCACAAACTGCACAGCCAACGTCAGCTATTGTTCGTCCAGCATCATTACAGGTTCCCAATGTGCTGCTTACAAGTTCTGACTCAAGTGTAATTATTCAGCAGGCAGTACCTTCACCAACCTCAAGTACTGTAATCACCCAGGCACCATCCTCCAATAGGCCAATTGTGTAAGTGATTTGGGCCAATCATTGACATGTTTACGAATTAAGTTTTTGCTGTCATTTTATTGTTTCAATTGTGACCTTAGTTTTATGTATCTGTTATATTCTGCGTGCTTTGATTTTTAGAAAAAGTACTTGTGTAGTCTTTAAAATGTGTGTGTGTGTGTGTGTGTGTGTGTGTGTGTGTGTGTGTGTGTAATGTAATTAGAAAATAAATACCTAAAACTTAGATGATACTTCTTTTAGACAGGTAGCTCTTAAAAGCTTTCTGATAAAGATTTTTTTATTTATTTAATATATTGGCAATTGTCCTGAGTAAATCCAAACTTTTCCCATTTTTTTCCTGTTATTTTTTCCACACTGCTACATGCATTATACATTTTAGATGTGATTAAAAATAAACTTTGCAAGCTTCTTTGATTAGAAATTTTTTTAATGCTATAGTAATAGGAATAAAAATACTCTTTAATTTTTCTTTTTTTTGTTTTTCTTAGTCCTGTACCAGGTCCATTTCCTCTTCTATTACATCTTCCCAATGGACAAACCATGCCTGTTGCTATTCCTGCATCAATTACAAGTTCTAACGTGCATGTTCCAGCTGCAGTTCCAGTAAGTTTGAGATTTAGACTATTTATATTTTTCTTTATAACAAAACTTATCTGGGTAATCAGGAAATACCCTTTGGCTGTTTAATTGGTTTATGAAAATGAATTCAACAAACTATTAGTGGCAAGTAGTATTTCCTCTTTGATATTTATAGTGATGACATGTACCATCCAAGAAAAAAATAACTGGATAGAAAACATTTTTTTCATTCTCTGAAAATCTTAATTGTTTTTCTTGTATTTTTAATACTGAGAACATTATTCCTAGTCAGCCCATTTTAATTTGACTTAGATTTGTAGAATTCAAATATTAACACAGATTTCTATCCTTTAGGAGTTTATTTATAATAGAATACTTGTCAGATAACTCCATGGTATTTCAGGTATTGTAGAAATTGTTTATAAAAACACTCTGAATTTTATGGTCAAGTTGGGTTCATAGAATTATTTTTGCTATTCAAGCATGTGAAAATTTAAACAGTCTAAAACAATAGTTAATCTGCCACTTTCCTAATGGGGAAAATAAAAATAAAAAAGCTGTTTGAGGGGCATGTTAATTATATAAAATTTAAAAAATACAGGTAAATATCTAATTATAATATTTAATAATTTAGTGAATATTTAAAAGCACATTCTTTAGAATTATGTAAGTTAGAAATAATGCTTTTTTTCCTATTTTCACATTCATAAAACTATTTTATTCAAACTCTACAACTGTGTCTTCAGTATTAAAGTTAGCATCATTAGAATGATGTTTTAAGATATATGGCACAATTTTCAAAAACACATTATTTTCATTTTTACCTAAGAAATTTCAATAAAGTACTTTTTAAATTTAGTATTCTCTTTCTGGAAGTCTTATCTCAATTCTTAATACTCATTTATACAATAAAAAGATAGTTTCTTTTTTTACCTTGTAGGTACATATTTCTGATTAGTGCCATATAATCATTTATTGCACAGCTTTAAAAAAATGTTTTTAAAGCCTACCAATAGTAACATCAAACACTTTTGGTGAGAATATTCCCCAGAATATTACTGAGATTAATGTTAAATATTTATTTTTATTAATTAATTCTTCTATCTTTTTTTTACTTTTTTTAAATTAAATTATCTGTGTACATATACCATTGCCCCCCACCTCCATACATGCCCTCCCTCCCCAGAGTTTTGTGTCCATTGGTTGTACTTATATGCAAGTATACAAGTCCTTCGAGTGATCTCTTATATTCATCAGATCTCCCTACCCTCCCCGCTGTAATTTGACAGTTTGCTTGTTGCTGATATTTTAAAGTATCCAGGACTAGCATTGATAGGAATCATCTTGATTATGTATGTGCTCTTCAAATAGAACTTTGCTGTTCAAATTCATTATTTGAGAGACTTTATAAAGGCTGAATATAAGGTCACTACTTCCTCTTTTCTGAGGATATTTTTGAATGGGAAACATTTTGCCCTGCATTTGAGATTATGTGGTTATCCTATGAAATGTAACTGATTAAAGAAACTGAAATGAAAATGAGGTATATTTAGTTATACAATAATCATTCAGTGTTGATACTAGGTCAAAAACAAAATGGAAAAATCTGTTTTAGGTTGTTAGAGAAATTAGAGGTTATTAGATTCTTTTTTTATGCATTATATTAAATAGGCTATTTTTATGTATTTTTAAAAAGCACAATTGTTGAAATTATTTTTCATGTCTATTTGTCATAAGTTTTGACATTTTCTTTCACCCCAGAATGTAAGTGTGATAGATATGTGAGAAGTTTAACTTTGAAAACTGTGAGTTATAAGAAGGAACTATTTTTTAAAATTGTGAAAGTTGAAGATTAGAGAAGCAAATGCATTAGAAATTGATAACTTTTTAAAGTAAATCGGTAGTTAAGGTCAATAACAATTTAAGTAAAGATATAGTTTCTGATTTGAAGTCTCAAATTCTATAACAGCTATTGTGCAAATAAAGTACAAATCTCATTTTTAATATATTTTCTAGCAATTTTTTAAAATATCTTTTTTATAGCTCGTTCGACCAGTCACCATGGTGCCTAGTGTTCCAGGAATTCCAGGTCCTTCTTCTCCTCAACCAGTACAGTCAGAAGCAAAAATGGTAAACAACATTTTATTCATTCTGCCCATTTCTTGAGCTGATTTTGAAATCTTTTTTTTTTTTTTTTCTTGTCTGGTTTCTACCTGTATATTTTTAAACAAACTGTCCTCCTAGTGGAGGCTATGGATATTACAGCTGAAACTAGGTCTAATCATCTGAACACAGTGCTGATAAGTGGTTTCAAACAGTGATATACATTTGTGGAACAGTATTGACAAAAATTTTGAAATAGTACACAATTAGTCACCATTGCACCTAATATATAAAGGCAAACCATATTTTTGAGTTTGCTTTAGATATTGAGAAATTATTGTTTAAGGAAGGAACTGCAGATTAGGAGTCAAGAGGCATGTGTCTTTATTTTAATCCTAATTCTGTTATTCATTACCATTAACCAAGCCAATTCCATCCTTCATACATCTTAAATTCTATTGAATGTCTTTATTTAAAATGACTTTAAATCCTACTTTATATTATATATAAATGAATTCTCTAAGAGGCTTTGTACATAATCCTGAAGGATAACAAAGCCAGAATTTTGAATCCTGGCTTTGGCAGAGAACATTGTTTCCTCTTCTCATGTAAGTTGTGAACCTTTGAAGCAAAGGAAAGTAAGAGTTAACAAAGTCTGCCCTAACCGATGTGTTTCAGTGGATACAGAGTCGGCCTGTGGACTCAATGGTCCCAGGTTCGATTCTGGTCAAGGGCATGTACCTTGGTTGCGGGCACATACCCAGTAGGGAGTGTGCAGGAGGCAGCTGATCGATGTTTCTCTCTCATCGATGTTTCTAACTCTCTATCCCTCTCTCTTCCTATTTTAATAATATTTAAAATATATATATTTTTTAAAGACTTAAGAAAGTCTTAAATGTATATCAATTCATGATGCTCTTTCAAATGATATCCCCAAGAATATTATTTTTCGATCATTCTGCAATTAGATGTGCTCAATGACATCACTGAGCTAACTCAGTGTGTGGTCTATTTTATTAGCTGCCCAGTTCCCTGACCCAGGACCTCAGGACCATGGTAAACTAACTTAATTGTTTTTTGAAGTGAGGGTGAAGACAGCAGTTTCTTTGAGCTTGCACAAAGAAAGTGTGGATTTCCATCACAGCTTCAGGAAGAGACCTTGCAGGGCCCATAAGCCAAAGAAGGGAATAGAATATACACCACTCACCTTTACATTATGCCATGATTCCCATAGAATTCCAGAATGAGAATGGAGTGTCTTTCCTTTCCCTCCACAATAGTTTGCAGGGTAGCCAGCAGCTAGGCTGGTTTCCCAAAATGCTGTACTGTGCCTCTTCTATGCATTATCATCATCATCTTTTTAAATCAGTATGATTCTCCCTTCTACAGTCTATAATACTTCAGGGCAGTTTCTTCTTAACAGCAATTAATGAATGTATTATTAGGAAATCAATAGATAAATAGTTACTAGGCACCTATTATTTGCTTCACTTCAATGTTAGGCACTGTATTAACTATATACATTTATACACATAAAACCATTCTATATTGCAAGGCTTTAAATTTTTTACTGCTAGTTCTCCATTAGTGCAAATAATCAATCTGAAATTGTCACGTGATAACTTTATTTAACAATAAAACACACCATCTGATGAACTAAATAGGTGGTTGAGGAGTGTAAAAATTGGTTATTAGTTGGTGGGAGAACTTGAAAACCTGAGAGGGAAATGTTTCTCATATCAGCATGTTTAGAGGTCAAAACTTCGGAAAACTAAGATGAATCTTGACTTGATAGCCAAAGAGCTTCACTGGGAATGTTTTTTATTTACAATTTTTACTTTAAACATTTCGTACTAATGAAAATATTATTATTGAGAACTGAGAATAGAAGTGGGAGCTAAAGAGATCATATTGTACATTACATCTAAAAATATTTTAGATGTAATGTACAATACATCTAAAACTAAGATGAATCTTGACTTGATAGCCAAAGAGCTTCACTGGGAATGTTTTTTATTTACAATTTTTACTTTAAACATTTCGTACTAATGAAAATATTATTATTGAGAACTGAGAATAGAAGTGGGAGCTAAAGAGATCATATTGTACATTACATCTAAAAATATTTTTACATATTTAGTGGGCTTCCTTTCTTACAAATTAATTAGAAGGAACAAATCAGATTTAAAGAAAACATGACTTACAAGAGTAGGCCATATTTGCAGAAATTATTCAATTTAGCACTTCCCTAAATAACTTTCTCTATTAAGTCACCAGGAAATTAAATTAATATGAATAAAAGCATTTTGGGTGCTTGTATATTAAAAAATACCAAAGCTATAATATTCACAGATTTATATATGGAATACAGTCATCAATGAAGGCCCCCAAAATAGCATGGGGAGTCACAGATTGCCCCACTCAAAGTTAATGATCCAAATATTTCTTATAGAAATTTGCTAATGTGAAATAGCTATATTTAGATGATTGCCTATTTTAATTGGGATAATAGATGTTTGTCCTTTTGTAATTAAATAAAAAGACTCAGAAATTAGTCTTTCCTTTTTTAAACTTTTCATTATGGTAAATTTCAAACATAGATAAAGTAAACAAGATAATATAATGAATCCCCACATGTCCATCACTCACCTTCAATTATTAACAGTATAACTACTATTTGTATTTTATCCATACCACAGACCACTCCCTACTCCCATTCACTTATTTTTAATAGCCTTTTTCGGTGTAAAATTTATATACATTAGAATGAACCAATTTTAACTGTATAGTTTTGATAAATGCATTCATGTAACATCCTCATTATAATATAGACCATTAACCTCTACCCATAAAGTTTATTTTCCTTCCCTTTCAGTTCACCTTCCCCAAGTGTTTTGATATTTGTCGCCAGCAGATGAGTGTATTATAGTTTGCTTCTTTTTATTGCAGTTAGTATCCATTGTATAAATAGAATATGTCACAGTTCTTTATCTGTTCTCTTGTTGGTGGACACTTGAATGACCTTTAGTGTTTAGCTACTGTGACTAAAACTACTGTACACATTTTTATATAACTTTTTTGGGATGTATATTTTCATTTGGTCTTTCTACCAAAGAGTAGATAGGTATTCATTTAACTTTATGAGAAACTGCCAGAGTTTTTTCCAGAGGTTTACATTCTCATAAGCAATGTATGGGAATTCCAGTTGTTCCCACTTTTTTCCAACATTTAGTTTTGTTATTATTTTCCTTGTTCATTCTATGATGGTATAGCAGAATCTTGCAGATTTTATTTGCATTCAGTATGACTAGAGTTAATTGTGATATATTGTGCCCATTTTTAAATTGGGTTACTTGTCTTTTGTTGTGTTATATGAATTCTATGTATATCAGATACAAATTTTTTACAAATAATTCTTAGTCTGTAGCTTGCCTTTTCTTAGTATATTTGTACTATTATTTTTTTAATATATTTTTATTGATTTCAGAGAGGAAGGGAGAAGGAGAGAGAGATAGAAAAACATCAATGACAAAGAATTGTTGATTGGCTGCCTCCTGCACACTCCCTACTGGGGATTGAGCCCACAACCTGGGCATGTGCCCTGACTGGGAATCTTAACTGTGACCTCCTGAATGCTCAACCACTGAGCAACACCAGCTGAGCTATTTGTACTTATTGGTTGCTACAGTTATCAAGTATTTCCTTTCACCTACTTAATTGGTTTAAGTTTGCTTATCTTTATTAGCTTCTTAAATTAGAAACTTAGATTATTGCTTTAAATCTTTCTATCTTTTAATATACGCATTTAAAACCACCATTTTCCTCTGCACACAAATTTGATACTCCCTATTTTAATTATTCATTTTCTAATTTCCCTTGTGATTTCTTCTTTGAGCTATGGGTCGAAGGCCCAGGGGCACATTCCCCCCCCCCTCCCCCGTCCCCCGTCCCCCATCCCCCGTCCCCCGTCCCGTCGCCCGGCCTCTAACCCGGCTCCTTGCCGGCGCCCGGCTGGCTGGTATCCAACAGTGGCTCCTGCTCCTCATCGCATTCCTCCCAGCCTGGAGCTTTTTTTCTCCTTCCCGCTAGGGGAGTCTAGCATCAGAGTCAACAGACTGTCCTCTGCAGGCAATGTATGCGACTCTGGAGGCTTTGCCCCTCGCCGTTCCCCTGGGACTTCATCTCACAGCCCCGTCTCCCTCTGTTTGAGCCTGGGTCCCCAGGGATTGGCCTAGAACTGGGGTTCAGAGCAGTCGGAACTGGGGCTCAGCACAGCCGGAGGTTTGGTTTCCTTCCCGCCAGGGCAATCCCACATCAGAGTCAACATTCTGTCCTCTGTGCACAATGTGCGCAACTCCGGGGGTTCCGCTTTTCGCCGCTCCCCTAGGATTCTACCTCACAGCCCCATCTCCCCCTGCCTGAGCCTGGGTCCCCAGGGTCTGGCCTCGAACTGGGGCTCAGCGCTGCCGGTTCTGGGGTTCAGCCCAGTCCGGGGCTTTTATTTCCTTCCTGCTAGGGAACTCCAGGCAGGCACCCAGCCTTCTCCTCTCCGGCTCCGTCCTCTCCGTGCGCAGCATGTCTCCATACCGTAGGCTTTTTTAGCTCTTTTGATTTTCCTTCTGGTTTTCTCTTTCCTTCTTATTGCAAAATTTTCAGTCAGTTGACTACCTGTAGCTCTGGGCAATGTCCGTTTTATATTTTAGTTGTATTCCATTGAAATTGTGTGCGGCTGCAGTTAGGTGTTTACCTGAGCAGCCATCTTGGATCCTCCCCTCTGCACCTCTGAGTTATATTTCATTATATGAATATATCATAATTTGTTTATCCACTCACCTGTTGATGAACATTTGGATTGTTTTTGGTGTTTAGATATTATGAGTTAATCTGCTATGAACATTCTTGCACAAGAATTTGTGGAGAAATATGTCTTTTCTTCGATAAATATCCACTGTGGAGTTTTACTGTTTTTATCTGCATGACTAGAATGATACTAGCTGAACCAATTATTTGCTTTTTAAAATATAAAA